CAAGCCATGCGATTCTTCTACTCAAAACCCTATAAAGACTCCTCATTTCCCTGGAGTAAAGGCCAACATCCTTACAACGGCCAGTAAGGCCCTTGTTTTTTTGTTTTTTGTTTTTAATAAATTAATTTTTATTGGTGTTCAATTTACCAACATACAGAATAACACCCAGTGTTCATCCCGTCAAGTGCCCCCCCTCAGTGGCCGTCACCCATTCACCCCCACCCCCCGCCCTCCTCCCCCTCCACCACCCCTAGTTCATTTCCCAGAGTTAGAAGTCTTTATGTTCTGTCTCCCTTTCTGATATTTCCCACACATTTCTTCTCCCTTACCTTATATTCCCTTTCACTATTATTCATACCAGTAAGGCCCTTGTGAGCTCTCTAACCTTCTCCCCAATAGCCCTCCTCCTGTTCACTCCACTCTGGCCACACATGCTTCTCTGCTGTTCCCTGAACTCAGAGGCACACTCCTGCTCTCAGGCTTCATGCTGAAAATGTCTCCTCTTATCCAGATGTCTGCTAACAGACACCAAAGATTCTGCTCAAATCTCACTTCATCAGCACAGCCTATATGACCTGATACTCTGGATTCTACTTTCTGATTTCTTGCTCATGTGCAAGTCCAGTGTAAATTGACCAAGGGGCTCTGATCCATCAACCAGATACCCAGGCCCCTTTCATCTACGGACTCTTGCCTCTACTAGTTTCTTTGGAAATATTTCCATGTGGCCAATGTCTACTGGGAGTGAGAAGGGTAAAGAGGGGATGAGAGGACACATCTGCTTTAAATGGCCTTGACCCCAGAAGTTACACAGATCACTTGCAAATAAATTCCACTGGTGAGAACTAGTCATATAGCCCCATCTGGCTGCAAGGAGGATGGGCTATGTCATCTAGGTATAGGTCCAGGAAAAGAAGGAAAACATGGATATTAGTAAGGAATTCTAATCACGAAATACCCTTCTCCTCCCTCTTCCTACACATAAAATACACTCAAACTCTCCCAGAAGAAAACCTAAGGTCCCATTTAGTCAGTGAACCTAACGTCAAGTCCAGGACCTCTGGGTACATCACAGTCTTCTTCAACAAGACCACATGTAGTTCCTTACAATGCAAACCAGAAACAGGACAAATTATAGGCACCCACCCTCCCCGGTTCCAATATACAATGAAGGAACATGAGCAGGAGGTTCTTCTTTATCCAATATCCTCCTTGGCAAAGTGAGCTCTGGCATGCCCTCCCCAGGTACCATGCAACCTTCATAACCCACCTCTTCCCAGAGCAAGTTCTGCGTCCTTAAAAAGTAGTTTTACAGTTCAAACAGTCAATGGCTTGTTAAGTGCAGGCCCACGGTTCCTTTGCCAATATACAATTCCCTCAAAAACTTAGTAGGCCTTTGATCTATTTATTTCCAGTCAGTTCCATGTGCCAGTAACCACACACAAAGTCCTTTCCTAGACACAATTCTCAAGCCTGATTTATGTCTTTGCCTCCATTCCTCTTGCTTTGAAGTAACAGAAGCCACCTGGAGGCCATATGAAACAATAGGTCAGCAGTTTCCAACTTTGGCTGCATGATAGAATCACTTGGGGGAACCTTTAAAAACTGCCTTATCTAAGTTTCATGTACCTTTGACCCATTAAATCAGAAGCTACATAGGTAAGAGCAAGGTGATTCTGATGAACAGCCAAGAATGAGAACACATGCCCTGATCTGTTCTTCACCATGGGACTAAGTCACTTTCTTTGACTGAGAAAGTTCAGTAGGCCTTTATTGCTCAAAGCCTTTCTAACTCTTACCTTTTGCTCTCAAGGGTCTATAAGCAATCTATTTTTCCTGTCACTGCTCCAACTGTCAGAACTTTCCCTATCTCCTCTCATTTTTTGCTTGAAAACTAATTTCTTTCTTAAGCCCATCTCTTTCTTGTCATCCCTAACCAAAAACAGTCAACATAAATTCACCTACCCCATCCTTTCCAACCTTTGACCTAGAGCTCAGGTGGCATGAAGTGTGCCTTCTAAATTATCATGGATGACAAATCTACTCAACTGGTCACCAAGGCATAACATGGGTTTCTGTCCTTCCCAACTCCAATATTAGTGTCCTCTTGGGGGTTACTTGACTACTATATCAATGAACACAAATTTTAAGGTTTTGCTTTAACAGAACTCTACTTCCTATACCAACCATTGTAGCAAAAACTAAAACCTCAGAAGCTTAACACAGAGTTTCTCTCCTGCTCCCCTCAAAGTCAAGCAGGTTGGCAGGACATTCTTCTCCACCCATCATTCAAGGACCGGGTTTCCTTTCATTTGTGGTTTTATCCTCCCCTGGGTCCCAGTAAAATTCTTTCCACTAAGCTGGCAGAGAGAACAGAAGAGACACTCAGCTATTAACAGTCTTATTCTGGGAAGACACATATCACTCTGATCACATTCCACTGATAAGTGCTACTTACACAGTCCTTCCTAGATACAGAGGCAGAGAAATGTAGTCTAGATGTGTGCCCACCAAAAATAGGAAAACAGCAATGTCAGTGGACCCTAATGGTCTCTTTCACACCCCTTACAACTTAAGCCCCACAGGGCAAGAATCTTCATAGATGTACCCCACATGCCTGTAACAGTGTCTGGCACACAAAGTAGGGACTCAAATAATATCTTTTGAATGAATACTGAATGCACACAATGAATCACAGATATAATACTATATGGCACTTTTTTTCTAAAATAAAATCAAATGAATGGATTGATGACTAAAAGAATAAATGAATTACAATGCATAGTTACTAAGATAAAACATTAAACAGAAACTTTTGGAAAAATCAGAGTAAACTTCCAAGCACCAATATAACCTATCAAGTCTACAATACAAATTCATATACAAACTTGTTAAATGCACACTAAATTTATCTCTTGTGAACACAGAGAAATATTCATTCAAATACTAGTATAAGAACAGTGGACAATCTTCAAAAAATTACTAACAAAGTGATTACACATCTTTTTGTTAATGGAAACTTCTTTACCCACATTAGTCTCAAAATTCACTCACATCTTCCTCAAAGAACAATGGTACTGCACATACAGTTCTAATGTTGAAAACAAGTTACACACACACACACACACACACACAGTGCCAAAAAACCTTACCAGTATGCATCAGTCACACATAATTCATATACTCATCAAAATTCAGAACTGATACCAGCTTCATGCCATTAAGACTAGATTTTTCTTGAAATCTTCAGTCATTACAACAAAAATGAATGAAATTAAAAAAAAAGAAAGCTGAAATGAAAATAATAACAAATGGGGTTTTGGCTTACTTTACAAGAATGTTGTGAGGATCATGCAGAAATACAAGAATTCACTTGTGATTTCTGTACTTTCATTCATGTATGTTTTAACCTAATGACAAAAATTCAATGGAGTATTTGAAACACTGCTTTGTAAGTCATAACACAATATGCAGTCACTTATCTTTAAAAAAAATGTAAAATTCCCATTTCTAAAAGGACTACAAATTAGCTAAACGAGCAATTTCAAACTAAGATGAACAAAAAGTTCTTCACTCTCTTCCCCTCAACATCTAGAATGAGAATTTTGTCAGAAGAAACACTCCAGGGAATTCAATCATTATAAATGGTAACCTAGCAAAGAGCCAGCTCAGTATTGAGAGTTATACTCTAAACAAAAAACAGTGGAAAGAACATTAACAAATCAATTAAGTGAGACACTTGTACTTTAAGAAAGGGAAAAGTAACAACTTGAAAATCTATAGATTATCTCTATTCAATAAAAAAGAGAAGAAACTACTACATTGTATTTTTTTTCCTTTGCTTGTTTAAAAAACTTTAAATAATCACTTCTCAACCAAAAAATACTGGAATTTACAACACAAAACAACCCAGGATAGGATGTTCAGTTTAACAAAATTTTATGGTTGAGTATAACTGAAAACCTATCTGATTAAAAAAAAAATTATCTCTAACATGTCAGAGATATAGGAAGTAAAACGTACATGTGGGTTGAAATTTATTTATTTTTTTAAACAAATCCCCAATATGAACTTACTTGCTTTTTTCTGGGTTGAGTTTTAGGAAGGCTAACTAGAAAAAAAAAGAAAAAAAGAAAAGCCCCTGGTAACTGAAGCTTTCTAATACTTAAGGTCCAGCAGGATGAACAAGGGTAAGAACCTAAATCCTGATTTATATGTATGACCCTGTATATTGTTCTACCCTTTAGCAAACCAACCAACCAACCAATGAAACCCAGAGGGAAAACTTTTTAAATCAACTTTTTGGAAATAAATGAATGGCATTTTAAGTATCAACTTTTTGGAAATAAAAGTACAGCATTTAAAAAACTGAAAATAAATTGAGAAAAGGAAAGAAAAATGATTGATGCTAAGCTGGTTACATGATTTACAACCAGCACAGGACAATCACACACATCGACTTCCACCCAAATATTGTTATTTAAAGGATGACTTTTGAAAGTAAGGACACCAATGTGGCAACTGTAAAAATACAATATTTCTTCAACTTCAGACAGACAAAAATTTAACTCCTTTACTTCATGCACCTTTCTTTGCAATATTTAATTAAGCCCTACAGTGAAGAAATATGAAGTGAAGAAAATATGCTTGAAAAAAAGAACTTTAAATCTTACTTAAAGCTCAGAGAATAAGCTTTAGGGGGGATACCCCTTGCAGAATTTTAAAATAAGAAGACACTTTTCACTTACTTTTCCATTTCAATTGTAATAGTAACTCCTGGAATTTTAAAAATTCTACTTTTAAAATCAAGTGATGGAAATAAACAAATAAAATCAGGTGATGAAGCACAATGTATTTGCAACTCATCATAACCGTTAGCATGAAGATTTGATTACACCGCATCCTTATTTGTTAGGCATCTATCAGGAAGTTGGCCCAGTGCTGTCACTGCAGAGACAGATTAACAGTAGAGGACATAGACTGAGACACAAAGTGATTACCCAAGAGGAGTGCTCCTTCATCTGGTGTTGGTTGCTGTGAGGGCCGCTGGCATGGCCACGCCAAAAGCAGTTTTGGCAGAGCTGGTAGTTGTGGCACTGCTGGCATCGGTACCGGAAACCCATCATACTCTCACAGCGGCAGTAAGAGCATTCCACGGGATGGAAGACTTGCGGAGGGCAGAAAGCAAGGCAGGGGATGGACGAGATGGGGGTGAGGGGAGAACAGGGGAGAGAAAGAAGTCATTTTCTTTGAAGAATAAAGTCAATACAGTGGAAAACCAAATTATCATGTAAAAAAGCAAAGGTGAAAACAAAATTAGAATTGAAAATTCTAAATTGTCTTTTAATTAATGGAACCTGCCATTTACGGGAATAAAAGGGAAAGACGATAGAGGAGAAAATGGTTTTTCAGGTTAGAATTTACATTCCAATCCACCTTAGAAAATAACCAATTTCTTTTTTTTTTCTTTTACCAATTTCATTTTTTTTTAATGAAACTCATGTTTCTCAAAACTCAGATAAATATATAAGGAAAGAAGAGAGAGAAGCCCTCTCAGTCTAAAACTTATTTTCCAAACCTGTTGCTTTTTAAAGAGATATATCATTGTTAGCTATAGAGACATTTATCTCCTTCACTGACATGAGATCTGTGAGAGCCAGGATGAAATACTATGTGTCTCTGTTACCTGAAAATACTATGTATTTTACTCAGTACCTTCAACTGAAGGCCTTCAAATGTTGGTTGAATTAAAAGCTACCATACACCTGGGTGTAAGTGGTAACTGGTAAAAAAAAAAAAAAAAAATCAGGTATATTACCATGTTAGTTTTAGGTAAGAGTTCTAAGTAGAACAGTAAAATAAAGTACTCTAGACTAACGAAGGGGCAGTGATTTGGAAGAAGAGAAACTCAAGGACCTATCATTATTTTCTCCACTTAATGAGCATCTCACCTTATGAAAAACTGCCAGGTAGCAGTCAGGATTCATAGATTGCTGGGATTCTCTTACAATCTGAACCTCCAGTTCATTGAGTGGGAAATGGGCAATGCACAACTGTATGTTACAGGCGGTTGTTTATACTTTTAAGTGTTGGTAGCATAATTAATTGTCCCCTCTGACAATTTAATTCTGAACACAAGAAATGGAAGTCAATAGGAAAGGGGCATATAGTATTTGTCTTCATTTGAATAACTCTTTCTAGCATTATGTGTACAAATCCAATCTGATAAGCATTTTTGGTCCTGTTTCCAAAAATGTACATCAACTAGGGAATCAAGACTCAAAAAACAAACAAAAATGAACACTAGGAGAGAAAACCAATGTAACAGGATCATTAAAGACTAAAAAAAAGTAAAATCAGGAATGAGAACTCCAAAGGACATACTTCCTTTAAGAAATTCAAGCTTTCTGTCATCAAGATATTTCTAAGGCATAAGGAAGTACTAAGAAGAATCTGTGCTCCAAATTAAAACTATACAATGTAGTAAAGTTTTACCAAATAACACTATTTCCAAATCAATCTAGAGCTCACATCAACAGAGTCAACATCAACATACCAGCATTTATAATTCTATACAATAATTTTTACTGATATTAAATAATATATGTACATTAATATTAAATTATTAAGTACATTCTTGGTTGAACATGTATATATATATCTGTGTAATTCTTCTTCACTTCTATACCAGTCAAGAGCCAGTGCTTATATTAGACTGTGTAGTGGGTTGACCAGGTGGATATGGAAAGAACCAGAATGTGGAGAGGATCACTAAGTGTACTGGGTCAATTACAAATAAGATCAGGTTTTGGTAAAAGTATTCTTTGTTGTAATCTTCTTATATACGATATAGTTGGATTAGTAAACCAATATAAAAAGCACAATTTTTGTGTAGATATCTACCCTATAGTTACTTCAACATAATTCAAGTGATGAATTTCATAGAAAGAGCCCAAACTACAATATCATATAGAAATACCACAATTTTAGAATTTATTTCCCCAACATAAAAATTAAGATATGTAGATAAATGTTATTGTGATAGATAAAATGTTTTATTTTCAAGATATGTCAATGAGTTCATATTATTTCTCTGTAGCTGAGAAAAATATCACTAACCCCATAAGAATGTAATCAATAAATACTATACACAAACTCCAATAAAATGTTCATATGGATAACAAAAATCAGGACAAATGAGATTCTTTCTATATGGTATGGCAGATACAAAATGATTTTATAAAACAAACTGAATATAAAAGTCCTAAAACACTTCAGGCTTTAAAAGTATTGCCTCCAAAAGAGCCAATAATACTCCAATAATACTATAATAACTTAACAATATAAATCTCTATCCAAAAATCCTGTTAAAAAAATCAGTTGCTGAGGTGCCTAAGTGGCTCAGTGGGTCAAGTGTTCAGTCTGCCTTTCCCTCGGGTCAGGATCTCAGGGTCCAGGGATGGAGCTTCAAGTCAGGGCTCCCTGCTCAGCAGGGAGCCTGCTTCTCACACTCCCGGCCCCTCCTTCAGCCATCTTGGCTTGTACTCTCTCCCTCCCTCTCTAATAAATAAAATCCTTTTTTTTTTTTTTTTAAATTTTAGCTGTTTTAGTTTAGTCAAGAGAGTCTACACCTTTCAGAAAATAATCCTGAATCTAAGGTAGCTGTGAACTAAAGCCACAGTGGGGCAAAAGGCTCAGAGGTTTAAAAAATAAAAGGCATGGATGAGAGAGAGAAGACAGAGTGTGGACGTGTATTTCATGCTTACAAAGGGGAAAAAGAGAGTTCAGCTTTTTAGCACCTCTCAGCTGTTACTGGTTCTCTTTGGCAGAATAGGAAACACCAAGAGCCTTGAGAGAAAGGAGGAGGTTACATAAAAACTACAGCCTTTCCTTTATCAAACTCACACAAGCTAAACAAGGATATAAACCAATAACAAAAAAAGAAAAAATTAAGAAGTTACTGGAGATAACTACCATTTCAATTCCAAGCAAGACAAAGATATGGGTCAAATCTCCGGAAATTCATATATTGCCTATAGCTCAAGAGACTGAATGACAAAAGTTCTGCTTACCATTCTCAACGTGGGCGAGCCTATGCATGAGAGGTAGCCAGACAAGGCACTGGGGAGGAGGATCGGCCATCATTGTGTCTAAAAACATATTTAGCATTATCTTTTTCTGTGAAGAGAAGAAAAACAAACATACTTTATATTCTTCAAGTACCTCTGAATTCCAAAATTAAGTTAATCTAGAATTCTCTCAACCAAGCTGTAATGAATTCCATGTGAAATTCTATAGCAAAGTACAATAACATTTTACATTACTATTGACATTGCAACACATTGTACATTACCACTATATTCAATGCATTTCCATACACGTTGAGTCTTAACCATATAAGGTAAATAGTTTAGATATCACTATCTTCATCTTACAGATGAGAAAAAGAAGGAACAAAGCATTTAAATGATTTATAAAGATCTTGGGACACCTTGGTGGCTCTGCTGGTTGAGCATCTGACTCTTGGTTTCAGCTCAGGTCATGATCTCGGAGTTGTGGGATTGAGCCTTGCTTCAGGCTCCGCACTCAGCAGGAAGCCTGTTTGGGATTCTCTTTCTTTCTCTCTCTCTCAAATAAATAAGTAAATCTTTAGGGGATGAATGAATGAATGAATGAATGACCTGTAAAGGTCCTACCTAAATCGCATAAAGCGAGGACTGGAACTCAGCCGCCCTTCAAATTACTATTTCTCTTACCTGTGGGGTAGACAGACATTCCACACCTTGTTACAGAACAACATCATTGAGAGCAGAAACTACTCCATTTGTTGTTTACTGTATTGCCAGCATTTCGGGGTTTCGGGTTTTTTTTTATGATTTTATTTATTTATTCATGAGAGACTCACAGAGAGAGAGGCAGAGACATAGGCAGAGGGAGAAGCAGGCTCCATGCAGGGAGCCTGATGTGGGACTTGATCCTGATACCGGCACTCTGGGATCACACCCCAAGCCAAACACAGATGCTCAATCACTGAGCCACCCAGGCGTCCCTTGCCAGCATTTCATAACAGTGCCAGGCACACAACAGGCACTGGATAAGTAATCACTGAATCCATACAAAAGTGAGGAGCAAACACTGTTAAACATCACTTGACAACTTTCTCATTTACAGAAAGAAAACTAAAGTGCAGAAAAGTGAAGTAATTAGACCCAGTCACAGAGATAATGAAAATAGACTAAACATCCAACGTCCATCACTCCCCTGTAACACCACCTCCCCAGCTAGACTTTTTTTTTTAAGATTTAATTTATTTAAAAAAAAAGATTTAATTTATTTATTCATGAGAGACACAGAGAGAGAGAGGGAGAGAGGCAGAGACACAGGCAGAGGGAAAAGCAGGCTCCATGCAGGGAGCCCGACGTGGGACTCAATCCCAGGTCTCCAGGATCATGCCCTGGATTGAAGGTGGCACTAAACCGCTGAGCCACCCAGGGATCTCCGTTTTTGTGTATCTTTTTGGTAACTATGAGAATCTTGATTCCATTGTACATAAGGAGATAATTCTTATTAACAATAATCTTAAGAAAAAAAATTAGTAAGTAGGGAACAGAAAAAGGAAGATAAAGTAGATGGCAAGGCAAGAAAGAGACTTTTGTAATAAAAACTTGAAAAAGAGGAAGAAAAATTAAGGAAAGCCTCCAACTGAGGACAGAGATTGGAGGCCAACATTGAATAGGGGTAGGGCAGGGGCAAGCAAGAGGGCTTATGGAGGGCTTCCTACTGTTTGATAACAGTAGGAAGTTACCATCCAAAGGCTCTTTATAGAAAGCTGTGCACTGGTGGTGAGGTTTGAGAAATACCCACTTAATTAGGCCAAATAAAGTTTTCCAAAGTGTTTTCCATCTCAGGCATCCAAGTCATTGATGTTTCTGAGACCTCAGTGGAACCTCAGAGGAATGAGTGAACAACACATTAAAAACCAAACCAGAAAGTCACAGAACATTTAAAGGGAGGTTCAGATATGGAAAATGTCTCTAAATAAGGATATTTGCATAAATGCAACAAAGACAAATGAAAATTGTCTTCATAAGATTACTGGGAAAGAAGATGCTGGGAAGTTTTTTTTAGCTAGTAAGAGGTAGTAATCAAAACTAAATGTATGTTTAAATTAATATTTCTATATTTTTATACCTAATATTAAAAAATTACATCTCTACAAGTCTACCTATAATCTTTTTTTTTTCTACCTATAATCCTAACGCTACTTTCTCTCAGAAAGTTTTGATTTGCCTATCATGGAGGTTTCTCTTTTATTTATTTTTTATTTTATTTTTTTTAGGTTTCTCCTTTAATACTCAAGTTGAAAAAGGACAATTATACTTGACATCTCAGAAGAGCCTGATAAAAATACTCAGGGTCAGTTTACAAAAGTTGTCCTAAAGTCATATTGTAATTTGAATTCCTCCAAGAGCATGAGAAATAAAACCAGAACTGTGTCCAGTACTCTTGTCTTCCATTTGGAGAAAGTCACTTAACATTCTGGTTTCAGGGGCACCTGGGTGGCTCTCAGTGGTTGAGTGTTTACCTTTGGCTCAGGGCATAATACCAGGGTCCTGGGATATAGTCCTGCATTGGGCTCCCTTGCAAGGAGCCTGCTTCCGTCCTCTGCCTATGTTTCTGCCTCTCTCTGTCTCTCATGATTAAACAAATAAAATCTTTAAAAACAAAAACATTCTGGTTTCAGTAGAGCAGTGCTTCTCAGAGTGTGGTCAGAAGCTGCCCTATAGGTCTCTAAAACATTTTCAAGGAGTCCATGAGGCCAGAACTATTTTTAAAACAATTCTCAGACATTACTTGCCCATTTCAAAATATGTCTCTTATAGGTGTACAGTGGGGTGTGCCAGAGGCAAAGCGGCATATCCACAATCATCTGAAAAAGCTACTAAAGCATTCCTCCTTTTTCCAATTCCTCCCTATGTGAGGCCAGATTTCTTTCCATACTTTAACCAAAACAACATATCACAACAGAACCCATGGATAAGCAGATAGGAGAACCCAGCTGTCTTCAATTGAGCCAAATATTAAAGCAATTTGCAAAAAAATGTACTACCATGGCACTCTGGTTAAATATTTTTGTTTTGGAATATGTAATTTTTTATAAAAATGTATTATTTAAGATGTAACAGATTTATTGTTATTTTTTTTCATGTAGGCTCCAATTGGGTGTGGAGCCCACTGTGAGCTTGAACTCATGACCCTGAGATTGAAACCTGAGCTGAGATCAAGTGTTGGACGCCCAACTGATCGAGCCCCTTAGGCGTCCTATCATTGTTATTTTTAAGTGACAATAAATGCCTTTAATTTCTCAAATTTAATATTTAGTATAGAAATATCAATAGGGATCCCTGGGTGGCGCAGCAGTTTAGCGCCTGCCTTTGGCCCAGGGCGCGATCCTGGAGACCCGGGATCGAACCCCACATCGGGCTCCCAGTGCATGGAGCCTGCTTCTCCCTCTGCCTGCGTCTCTGCCTCTCTCTCTCTCTCTCTGTGTGTGACTATCATAAATAAATAAAAATAAAAAAAATTAGAAATATCAATAGGTATAACCCACATAAACAAAAGCTCTTTGGGGACCTCAATAATGTTTATTGTAAAGAGGGCAGCCCCGGTGGCGCAGCGGTTTAGTGCTGCCTGCAGCCCAGGGTCTCCTGGATAGAGTCCCACGTCAGGCTCTCTGCATGGAGCCTGCTTCTCCCTCTGCCTGTGTCTCTGCCTCTCTCTCTCTCTCTGCATCTCTATGAATAAATAAATAAAATCTTTAAAAAAATTTTTATTGTAAAGAGGTCCTGAGACCAAAAAGGTTGAGAATAGCTGAGATAGAATTCCTAGCTCAAAAATTCCATGACTTAGTAAATAACTGTGTGGAAGACAGGTTGGCTCTTTTTTCTCCTTTTTTATTTTTATTTTTCTTGAGTTGAACACATTCTTTGCATTTCTTATTTTTATAGCACAATATTTATAACAAAAACTATAATAAAATTGCAAAAACTGTACATTCCCACAATTCTCATTTTTCTGTATTTCTTTCCAAATGTATATATGCATCTATGTAATTATGTACATAGGGTAGACGAAAACATATGTTTTTTCACTTAAATTTTTATTAAATATTAATTGTTTTGCTATGAGGTCTTCATTTCTAATCATTTTAACAGCTGTCTGATCCACTGAGCAGAGACACCATGAGCCATGAGCCATTCTCACCTCCTTCCCTCCACCCATGACTACATTTTCCCTGTTTTACAGGGGGGCAGGGACCATTTCTTAAAAATGAGAAACCCAGTATCAGTAAAATAACATGAAAAAACAAGTAAATTAGTTTAGCATTGGATCATCACAGGTGCAATTTCCAACCTCATCATTTCCATTAAAACTTCTTGTTTCTTATGGACAACATGTGAGTATTTCTTATCCTTTGCCTTAACTCACTTGGTAAACAATAAACCATGTATGACATATAGTTAACAAACTTGAAAACATTTTTAAAAAATCTTCCAGATTAAAAACATGTTTATATAAACTTTTGTGCAGAGTTAAAAATATTTTGCCTGAACAGGGCAAACATACATTAACTGGTTATAGGACCAGTGCTATGGGTCAGCCTTCTGATTATTATTAGACACTGATTTGTCCATATCGCAGATTTATTTTGAAATTAAAGTACTTTGTAATGACACAACAATATAATGTTGCTGTGCTATTTTTTAGAGATGTTTTTATTTAATACAGCTAAAAGATGGGAAGACTTCAGAATTTCTAAAATACTCTATTTTCCTCATTGCAAAGATTGTTTCATTTGAGAGAATCATGGAATAAAAAGCCAATGAAAACAAGATTGCAGGTACATCCACGAGATTCAAACTTTCAGTTAGAATGCAAGCCAAAGATACTTTCTCATGCCATATTTGATTCAAATCATTTAATCTAACAAATCACTAGTAAGCATCACTCATTTTCCAAACATCATTAGTCACAGGGATATAAAGTTGAAGATCAAGGTGCATCCCTTCAGGGTATAAGGGAGCTAGATATAACATGCCATGGGAATGAGAAGAGGAACAATTAATCCTACATTGAAAGATTCAGGGCATCAAAGAAAAAGGGCTATTTTAGCTGGG